TGCGATGCGATGCGATGCGATGCGATGCGATGCGATGCGATGCGATGCGATGATACACCCTCAGACTCTAAGACGTGCCGATCTCTTCGTGCTTGTAACTCGAGTAAATATATCAGCTACTTCAAGCGGAAGCTCTACTCGTCTATAATTTTCCTTCGTGACAAATATTCCCGTGAAAAAGAATAGAAAGGCCGGGCCATCGCTTTTATCTGTAGTTATTTTTCAAAATATGGAATACACGTACGCGTACGTGTTTTTCGATTATAAAACGAGTTACAAATATACACGATGAGCATGGATTGTCGGAAAAACCAAATGTAATTCTACAGATGAAATTCCATCAACCTATTTTCCAATTACTCTTGCTGATCTCGATTCAAATGGAATTGAGAATATATTGATTGTTCGATTACACAGGCATACGAGCAGGTATATATACGTGTGTAGTATGCGTTGGTTGCACTTCGTTCATCAAATTTATTTTCACCGTTCAAATGAATTGCTAATGCAAGTATGGAAAAGGAATAGCATCTCGCGATCGTGTGAAACGTTAACATGTCCGGGTATCAACATGTGCGTGTTTAATATTAAAGGAGCATCAGCTAGGCGATTCTTTCGCGAATTTTATCGTCAAATTATTCGTTTCAATTAGATCGATACGATAGATAATACGATTCAACGATCCAATACGAAGTGCAAAGCAACATTTGCACATTGAATATCGATTTATTCATCCTCCATTTATCTCGTTTCACGAAGATAAATTACAAATGCGGTCGGAGTACTTTGTCGAGTAATATGTGAGTAATAAAGAGCAAATGTAATGAAATCTCTGTAAAAGCATGCTTCGCGAGCGTTCTCGTCCGACTGATTAAACATTATACATGATATTTCGATTAACGATGTAAATTAAGTGGAAATGAATTGTACAATTGTTTCTCCATATCGAGATATGGAGTTAACGCACCATTAATATAAAGCATCCTTCTCGTATAAACACGAGAATCTTACAAAGCATTTGATCAATCTAGAAACTGTTTAATGATTAACATTGTATACAGAGGTATTAATCAACTTACGTTTACTGTTTTCACTACCATCTCCTTAGTTTCTGGATTTACTTCACTCCATTCACTGGCATAGTATGGTCCTTGATGACCGAAGAACTAAAACAAGAACAAACAGAATTCTTTCCTATGCAGACTCCTCATCGAAGAACATACAAATTGCAATCGATTAAGTAATTACGTTATTTATAAAATGGCATGTTAAAAAGATAGCTGACAAAGATATTTTTTGAATCCCCAGACATTATATGTACGACTCAATATCGATAAGCACATATTTCACATAAAAATATATGAAATTAATTCGGACGCTGAAATTCACAAAATCAGAATACCTGTGTTCATGGCTTAATATTCGTTCCCAATTAATTGTATTCTGATTAATTATACTAATTACACTATTTAATTATATTTTCCTGATTAATTGTATTAATTATTAATTGCACGACCCAATCACAATGTTCATAGAGTCGTTCCCGCATCAGTTAGTGTTCGAACACGTTCAATGCAACTTGTTAGTTACATCTGTTAATTAGTCAGGAATTTTCGTCGACGCAGCAGTTTCGGTTCGACGAATTCCACGTTCCCCGTGGTGCAGAATGATGGAGAAGAGGG